AGTAACTGTGGAGGTGCACTTTGGATGAGGAGACCCAATAATGACTTCAAAGGCAGTAGGAGATTTATGGGCATTCTCAAGAATTCAGTTCCTTTTGTGAGACCCATCATTCCTGACATTGACAATATGCTGAAGTTTGTGCTGGATGGAATGAACCGGTTGGTCTACCATGATGACAGCCAGGTTGTGAAATTGTGGTATTGAAGCTACTGACAATGAGGGTTCCTGTGAAGGAAGGACCCAGGTGCAAGTGTATCCTTATAGTAGCCCTAGTGGACTGCTGAAACTGACAAAGTCGGCGCAGCAATAGACGCCGATTCAGCTGTCCGCTAGGGCGACTTCTTCAGAATTGACTCCTGAAAGTACCTCTTTCAGTATCAGTTTGGCCACCCATTAAGGACATCTTTAGTAGTCTAAAACTAGTCTCTTTTTATGTATTTCATTCTCAATACATACTTCATAGTGGGTCGCAGCATGGCTCTGGAATGGAGCTATATCATGGTGGTTGTTGCTGCCGAAGCTCAAAACAAACAACAAAAGGCACCAAAAAGATACCAATGTACTAAGCATTAAGGGCTTTTTAACTTGTTATATCTAATCTGGTATTCAGAGCAAACTCCAAAAAAACTTTTAAAAAAAAGCAAAAACTGCAAAAATTGAACCCCTGACCTCATCTGGGCCCTTACCGGGCTTGACCACCATGTAAAAATGGACTCACATTGGCCCAGAATTGACCAAATGGACTCAGAAGCCCAAACAGAAGCCCCAAAAGATCCAAATTCGCCACAGCACCGGTTTGCCGCCAAAAGGGCATCATTACACTGCCAAAGCAAGCATGGAAGCATGATGGAGACCATAGGAGAGACCAATGACAATGCTAATGCACCGGTTACTAGTACAAACCCCACAGAACCACTACAGACTGAATTGTCTGGATTTTTGTACCTGTACAAGCCAGTACTAAATCAAGGAAGGATTCAACCAAGGAGGACTCGGCATTCAGCAGTACTGGGATTGCCAGCAAATCTGCCTGTAGCCGTGCTGTTGGTTTGCATGCTGTCCATGCTGTTGAACAGCACATCGTCCAAGCCAAACAAAACACGGTTGAAGCCATCATCCAGCATGCTCCGAATCCAAATTAATCTTAAGAATGTGGAATCTCCAGAATGGGAAAGCAACGCAAATCCTCCATTCTCCCTCCATCCATCCCAGTGCTTTACCGAGCCACCCCCCAAGTCATGATGTTCACCATGATCCTTGCCACAGAGGAGAAGAAACAAAGGAAATCTGTTCACCAAATTATCCAATGAGATACTTGATCCCTTCACTATCAAGTGGTTGGCTGCTAGCCAGAAGAACTCCGAGCCTTCAGTATGCTGCATTTGCTCGGCAGTACCAGGTGCCCACTACATCAAATAATTTTGGAAGGAGGGTCAAGAAATATCTGGAACAACACGGCTGCCATGCAAGATGCAGTCATTCATCACACTACTCCAACAAAAATTATTGCAGTGAGTGATAGACCCCAACTGTTACACGCTGGAAAAACTACGAAACAATTAGCCAATGAGGAGACTTACCGAAGGTTTGAATACCAAATGCAATCAACTGGACATAATAGCCAACCAACTTTTGTATTCAAAAATTTGCAAACAGCACAAGATTTATTTTTTTTTTTTTGCAATAGATATTGGAGAAAGCTCTGGAAGTGAATCGGCCCTTCTGGAATGGATTCGATCCCTCCAAATTGAAGGGCTGGGAGCGGGTGATGCCGTATGAGCTTAAAATTAGATTGTCTAAAATAGACACTGATTACAACAACAACAATTTTAAAACCCAAATTGATTCGATCACTGAGGTTTCTTTGCCAAAGATTTCCAGTTCCCCCAAAACTTGGTATTTCAGGCTGACGACACTGGAATTATGCAGGTGGCCTACTGGCCGGTCTATCCTTCCAAAGGAATCTGTAAGTGGAACCATGCTGGTTTGGATACAGTTTCAACCATGTATGAAGATCTGATCGAAAGATCAAGGGATATCACAGATTTGTCTGTTGGGAAACTAACAACATACAGGCGCAGTGGCTCAGCTGGAGGACCAGTCGAGGTCTTTGAAACTGATCAGGATCATCTAAACCCGACCATGGTTAGCAAGGGAACCAAGGTGAATCGAACCTGGGGCCATGCGCCTACAGGAACAGCAATCAATCCAACACTACGTATGAAAGTTTGGGAAGCAAACGGCCAAAAAAAGCAAAGCCTGTTCGCGAGAAATGTCGGCCGACATTGCTGGTAGGAAAGAGACATCAGCCATGAAGCGCAAATGGATGCAGACAAGTCCACATTACCGGAATAGCATGATTGCCCAGTACATTTCCAGACTGAAATACCAACTGGTAATCACCTCTTGGCAGGTATGACGGTGTGCTGACGGATTCCATGACAGCTTGGATAATGGCTAGAAGGTCAAAGTCTGGCAGCATTAATAATGCCTGGCCCAGTTATCTTAGAACAAAGATAAGTGGCAGCAAGAAATAGACCACAACCTGTCTGCTTTTCAGTGCCTGGTTATCGAGTATGTATTGCAGATTGGTCAGCTAGTGAACTTTGAGCCGGTGGCGGCTCACTGCGATAACAGCAACGGCCACGTCATTGAAACACTGGGATTGGTGGCTAAAGTGCATGATCATGAGCAGGGAAACCCTGTTGATTGATTCTGAAAGGAAATCTTCGAGGAACGCGGCAAGGGGCAAATCATGGTACCTAGGCAACGCCATGCCTGGTTGATTAGGGCAGGACGAGATACCTTTCTCTCTGTTACCGGCACACCAGTAGGGAACACCACTCCACTGGCTGTAGCTGGAACCAGATCTTTCACTGCTTGCCTGAATGATTGCTTCTCTTTACTTCCTGGATGGTACAGACCATACTTGCCCAACCTCATCCTCTTCTCAGGCAGTGGCTTGCCTGGGACTTCAAAGCTGACCCTCACGGGCTCTTCTGTCAAGTCAACCACTTCCGGCATGGCTGCTTTATTGTGATGGTTGCACAAACATGTTCAGTCTGTTTTGGGATAACACCGAACAGCCTTTGGGAGATCTTCTGTAGCTACAGAGGAGCCATTCGGTGGAGTTGGGATGACTTTTATTGTGCATTCAAAATGTTTGCTGAAAGAATGGGATAACTTCCCACAGCCACAACACTGCATGGAACTGCATGGCACTAGCAAAGGAAAGTTTGCCAGAAGGCTCTTCGGCAACACTCAACTGCCTGGTAAGGAACAGTGTGGAACATCTCTGCTGACAGGTGCTGTTCTTTTTCGGTGATGTTCAGGAATGCTGGGACTATGTATTTAAGGGAGGGGTGGAGCATGCATAGGCAGGCTATGCTGGCAGCATAAGTACAAGCTGCCGGTGCTCTATCAAGCTCCCAGGCTTGGTCCCTGGCTTGGTACCAAAGCACACCGGTTATATAATATCTACATGATGAATACCTTAAAAACCAGAATGTCACCCCAACTGTTACTAGAGCCACCTTCTATGCATACACGTACCAGAAGCTTGATAGAAGCCAGGTAAACTGCTGGTACATTATTATTGCAAGAGTAGTACCGGTTACCGGTACCGGTACATGTACCAGCACGCTACGAGCTGTAGTTTAATCGCGCAATGTAAGAAATGGTACCAATGCCAATTACATAACGTTCATGTATTTTGAGGAGGAGTGCCTGTCATTTCTATTAAATCCAGGACATGAAAAGGAGATGTTGTTATATCTCTGATTGGCCCTTCCATGTGCCTTGTGTCATGTACTTATTGCAGACACCCCCAGTTTTCACCGTCGTGACTGAACCTAGCAACCAGGGTCTTTCTATAGAACTGCTGTACAAAAAGTAAGGATGTATGCAATGTGAATGTACTGCTTATCTTATAGTGCTTTTCTCAACATGTGTTCTTTACCATTATGGCTCCACTGCCATTGCACAGTGAGTGGTGGCATCTGGAGTGGTATCCTTTCCCAGCAACCACAACGAAACTGCTTCTTCGAACCGGAAGAAGTCGGACCCAGTTACCCATTATCCACCCAGTTACTACTACCGTACTCTACCCATTAGCATTTCCATTATCCACCCCTTGCTACTATTATCTAGCTAGTAGTAGAGTTTGTCAAGCAAGATGATTCGATTCTCAACAGCAGCCCTCTTGCTGTTGGCGGTGGTACCCTCTTGGGTGGATGCCTATGGTGGCTTTTTTGGACGTCCGGAACAAGAGTATCAACTGACTTCTTCGGGCGATGCAGTAGTCTTGGGTGTCCAGCAACTGGACGACGGTAGCCAAAAGGTGCAACTGCAGGTCCAAATGGATTTCTCCGGAGGCGACGAAAATTTTGGTTGGATTCTCCCCTTGCCAGCAGCTCCTACCAAACTGGAAGTAGGATCTTCCCTGCTCTTTCACGCGCTCTTTCAAGAAACCTTGCCTCGTTTTGAACTCGTAATTGAAACCAACGCGGCGGCAGATACCACTGTTAGTCGTCAAGGAACCGAAGCAGCTGGATTTACCGTCTGCGAAAACAATGTCTTGTTTGATCAACAGTGTCCCGTCCAAGGACCCACTCGCGGGAGACCCATTCGAGGTATTGATTTTGCGGCCGACTTGGGCGACTTTGGCCGTGCCGGTGTCTTGGACTACCAAGTCTTGGACGGAGACAAAGATGCCGTCAAGGCGTGGTTGCAGACGAACGAGTTCTTGGCCACGAACAATGGCAATATTGACAATGTCTTGAACTACTACGATGCCTTTGGAACCGTCTATGTAGCCGTGCGAGTCGCTCCCGACACTCCTGCCGGGGCCATTCAGCCTCTCTCGGTAGAATACAATCTGCCAGCCACTACCAAAGCGCACAAGATACCCACCCTGCTAGCCATTACCGACACTCCTCAAACGTTGCAGTTGTACTTTTTGAGTGATCAAGCCGACACTCGCGCTGTTCCCGTCAACTATTTGGATGTTACACTGGATGATGTCTTTGTCGACTGGGTCGGTTGTCTGGAGGGAGAGGAGTTCAGTGTCGATGCCTGCTACTACAAGGATTATCTCAATCGATTCGCCAGGGCCGTCGAACCGGTCAACAATCTCACCGTGACCACCGAGTACTACGGACCTGCTTCTGTCGTAAGTGACAAGATTGGCATTAATCTGGTACCCGCCGATTTGGAAACGACCGCCAATTGGTTGGAGTTCTTGACCGCCTTGGAAACGGCGGGAGTGCCACCCATTCCACCCGTGCAGGCCGTTTTGGACCAGTATTTGCCACCCAAGAATTTCTTGTACGAGCCTCCCTTTCAATGCGCCCAATGGGAACACATTTATCAGCCCTTTCGTCTTGTCAATCCTCGCATGGAAGATTGCTTTGACATTTGGAATCCTCCCGAAGGATGGGAGTGGGATCCCGTGGCGTTGACGGCCGCCTTGGAAGACGCCATTCTGGCTCCGGCACGATCCGGACAGCAAATGATTGACGGGACCTATCAAACGCTCACTCGCATGTACGGCAACCTGGTCACTCCCGCCTCGTCGGTCGAACCCTATTTTGCCCTCGCCACGGGAAAACCAACCGTGAACAATGTGCACCGTGCCACGGCGCTGCCACTGTGCGATTTGAATTCTCCCGCCGCCCTGGAAATTACCTTGGAGAATAGTGACGTGACCTTTTGGCAAAATGCCAAACTGGTCTGTCCGACATGGCAAAAGACGGCCCCCCGTCCCGTCTTTTCGATTGAAGATGCCACCACTCGGTCCAATTCCATGGCGTCATCCTTTTCCGCCTTGACGGCGGCGCAGAATGAAGGCATTTCCATTCCCCGCAATGAAGATGGATACTTTGAACCCACCGATATCAATAGTGCTTTGGAGCAAGCGGATGCTACCCTGGCCGGAATCACGGCCGACGATGCCCCTGCCGATGGAGTCCAGCAATTCCCTGGAATTCCCCAAGCTGGAACTCTTCAAATTGATGTCACGCCCAAAGATGACGACTTTTGGCAGAGCATGGATGGTGCAGCGTATAACAGCAGCGGTGCTGTTGTTATGCAGTCCTTGACAGCGGCTGTTACTATGACTGTGATGATGATTGTGGGGGTCTTGCCAACGAGGTGGTAGGAAGCAAAACAATAATTGAGATGATGAGCTCGAAAGAATGTCACACCAAGCTGGAAGTGTCGCGGCCGGTTCTAGTGGACGTGATGCTGGAAACTAGCTATGCGGATAGACGTCTCTGCATTTAATTAATTAAATTAGTGAAACTTTATGCATACGATGCACTGTGAACACCAGCAGCGACAGGGAGGAGAAGCCTGCGAGGTCTTCGCGGGAGCTGTGAAAACGGCAGGTCATCGCAAGAGAAATCAGCCAGATTATGTGAGCTTGCATACGCCCTTGAACCATCAAACCCGTGGGACGTTTGGAAGAGCACAAATATTGCAAATGAAACCAACAGCTTTTCTTATCAATGCATCACGAGGTGCAAGAACCAGACAGAGAAGAAGTATTGATTGTTTTCTTTTGTGTTGAGTGACCTCACATGTGTCTCTTGTCCTTCCAATCCTTTCATATAAAGGCTGTCTGTAACGAGGAGGAACTGATTGAATGCATGAAAGAAAAGATGATTGCAGGAGCAGGACTGGATGTGACAACCACCGAACCGCCACCCATGGATAGCGAGTTGTGGAAGTTGCCCAACATTTTTCAATCTCCCCACACTGGATGGTGGCGCATTGAAACACAACACCGCTTGGTCACCATGACAGCCGAAAACATTGAGGCATACTGTCAAGCCAACAATAAGGAGGAGGACATGATCAATATCGTGAATTAGTTGATTCAAGAGTCGGAGACTTTACCTCTGACTTGTGGGGTTGAACAATTGTAAACAAACAAGAAAGCTAGCCAAAACTATTTAACTATACATGACATATTAAACCTGCAATAGTTTCTTCTTTTGCTACTACAAAATCTAATCTCGCTTTCCACGACGCTTTTTGGTGGCACCTCCAACTGCAGGTGCTGCCGTCGGTGGAGGACCTCCTACTTGTTGTTGCTGTCCTCCTCCCGATTGGCCTTCTTCCGAAGGAGGATCGGATCCAATAAAGTTGGCCAAAAAGAGTGGTAGTAGCATGTACCAATAGCGCTTGGCAAAACCAAAGGGTGTATTGTCCACGGGTTGCTGTCCAGGCCCGCCGCCCTCCTTTTCCTTGTCGCCACCAGGCGGTCCCTGAGCACTGTATAGCTTGCCGTTGGTCCCAATACGAGGCAACCATCTCAAACCAGGAGGAGGACGATACTGAGGCATGACGGGACGTAATACCATTCCCGGGGTTGCCGTTTCCCACGAAATGCGGGAATCCCACCCTTCGGGCAAATTGGATTTTTTCTCATCCCAAATGGCATGGTCGCACGATTTGGGAGCCAATGGACTGACCAAAGGAATATAAGTCAAACTAATGGCAGATGCCTTGGGGCCCAGCGTAAGTACAATCTCTTCTCTGACCGCCAGACAACCGAAAAAACAGCAGAGAAAGGAAAACACGTGATGAGAACGAAAAGATGGACAATATGTTGAGAGAATCAACAGAAAGAATGGCAATTTTCGCCCATGTTTTCATTCTTCCACTCCACTACCCACCTGAAATTGGCTCGCAACAACTGACATCCCGGCACACTGGAAAGAATAAAATCACTGCCGTCACTTCCCTCTTCGACTAGCTTGAGCTGGTACAAGGATCCAGCGGCCTTGTTGTCCAAGAATGTTTGTTCATTCAACGTCGAGTTGTCGTTGCTAATGGAAATATCAACCGATCCTTCCGCTTCTGGATCCAACGAAAGGACAATGGATGCTCGATGGGCAAAATCTTGGCCTCCATTGGAGGAGTGATACAACGTCCACGACTTTTCCAGTGTGGCGGCAGTCACGGCTTGGACCGTCAATAAGAGCGCCAATGAAGTCATCCACAAGAGCCCATAGTGGCACCGGGCAGAGGATGGCATATTTTATTGTGTTGTGCTGTGCTGTGCTGTATCGGGATGGATGGTTTGGTCAGACTGGACTGGTGTGGAGCGTCGAATTGCAATGGGAAGGTTGGTTGGTTGTTTTGGAGGAGGAATGAGAATCACAAACGTGACTAAAATCCTGTCTTGCTGTGTTCTCTTTTGCGGTATGTACTGGTACCGCATTGGCCGGGAACGATCTTTGGACTCTACCGGTCTCCCATCTACGTGTATTGCAACATTGCAAACATATCAGAGTATGATTTATATCCCTAACGTCTAAAGTAGCGATGCATCACCATGCAAACGATTACGATTGTTGTAAACTTTTAAAAAAGAAAAACATGCAATGACATTCACTGTCGTCGATCAATGAATCATTCAGAAATCATTGAGAGGTTCCAAAGCACGCATACCGGTACCAGAAGTAAGGAAAGCTTGTCCTGAACAAGATTAAGGATGTACAATCCGTGCTGGGTTTACTTCTACTTTCGAAGTGTGCATCCTGGTACTTCCTCGAGTTCTGGGAGAGGGGTTGGTGGGAATCAAGGCGGTCGGTGAGCTGTACTATTTGGGTTTCTTCAGGATCATCCACCTATCATTGAGGAAGGTGAAGTCGCAGCAATCGGTATGATAGGAAGAAGTTCGGGAGGGCGTTCCGGCTCCGAAATCATGGATGGTGCGACAGGAGGAGAAGAGACTAACTCCCCAGCGCCAGGGGGTGGGCTCGGCTCTGACGGAACAGTCGTTGGAGGATCCGTTCTGGGTGGAGGAGTAGCCATTGACAGCTCAGGTCTCGTAACCAGTTCCCCTGTGATGCCAGCAGGGCTACTAGTCTCTGCCAGATTTTGCGTGGGGGCTAACGTAGCAGGAGGAGGATTCGTGACTACTTCCCCACCACCAGACCCTCCGAAAATACCGAAATCTGGTTGGTGTGTTGCGTTGCTATCACCAGAGAGCCCCGTTTCTACTTCTGACTGTGGGAAAATGTCGGGCAGTTCGATCAACTCCCCATCCCATTCATCTTCCTTGGGACTTCCATTGGGTGAATTCATCGGGTCGGCGACTGTGCCTGATTCGTTGCCGCCGTTTGTGTCACTAGTGTTCGCGTCGTACTCAAACGGAGGATCGCCGGTCGTTTGGGAACAGTCACAATCGCAAGGACAGCTCACTTTGTCACAATCGACAGAGAGAGACGTCAAGGTTCCTGCGGCCAACAGGCTGCATAGTTCAGGGGGCACTGATCCAGATAGATTCGTATTGTGCAATGATAGTTTGGACAATTCAGTGAGTTGCCCCAAAGAGGATGGAATCGTCCCTTCCAAATGGCGGTTGTTATTCAAATAGACATCGGTCAGGGTAGCCAATGAACCCAGTTCAGAAGGGAGGGTGCCAGTCCAATTGGCACCATTGAGGTGAAGCTCCCTGAGAGCATCCATGGCGCCAAGCTCCGAAGGCAAGGGGCCTGTGAGGTTGGGTGTATTGTAGAAGTACATTGCAGTGCAACTTGTCAACAGCCCAAGTTCTGTCGGCAGCACAGAGTGGATGAAGTTATTCGAAAGCGACAGCGACTCCAAACTGCCGTGCAGCTGCCCCAGTTCACTTGGGATGGTCCCTGTCAACTCATTGAATGCCAAATTGAGTTGCTTCACTCTGGGCAACAGTCCTAGCTCTGATGGCACTGTAGATTGGATGTGATTTTTGAAGAGCTGAAACAAAGTGATGTATTCTAGTAAACCAGCTTCAGATGGAATTCTCCCAGAAATAGATTGGTCGTGCAGATTGATCACATCCAAGTAGGTCAGAAGACTGATCTCTGGGGGCAGAGTTCCGTTCAAGTTGTTTTGGTAGAGAGAGAGACGGTTGTAGTAGTTTCGAGGTTGCTCTTCGTTCTGCAAGTGTCGAAAGAGGTGTGCCTGGCCACCACCAAGCTGTCTTCGACGAACCTGTGGGCCGGTGCTACAAATGCTCCCAAAAAAGGAAGAGTACCAATTGCATGTGGACGTTGTGTGATCCAACCAATTCGTGTTTTGAACCCAATCATCACCGTGGAGGGCATAGTATATTGTGGCCAAGACAAACCGTTGGAGGGGCACAAACGACGAAACGTCTTCTTCTTGGCTCTTTTCCTGGTACTCCAAATCTTCCAGATACCACTGGTATGCCCTTGCCTGTGGAGAATCTGTATCGTTCAGTGCCTGTTGGGTGTAGGCTGGCAGGAGATCTTCAACAAAGGACGTCGGTGCCAGTGTCGGTGGTTGTGTGGCACTTGTTTCCTTTGGAAAAACAACACCTACAAGGACTCCGACAATAATCCCCGCAACACTCAGAGCACAAAGTATACCACCCACGAGGAATCTTTTGCCATTTGGAGAGCGGAGGAACTCTTTGGCAGTGACGGTACGGATGGTTGGCATTGGTTCTGCTGTGACCAACTCCCCTTGCCTTGTTTCATCCTGTTCTTCAACCAGATGGGCTTCTACCAACATATCATTGCTGTTCACAGAGTCTGGTTGGCGATGATGTTGTCTTTGACGACGATGTTGGGCGGATTCTTCATGGTCCAGGGTGGATGTCTCCTGTGGCATTGGCATCTGCTGGTGTTCTTCCAACAATAGAGATGGCGGCTGTGAAACAGAGTAGGAAATGTCATCTGTTGGCTGTCTTTGACGCATCATCATGACGGGTGGAGCACCGGGCAATTGTCGAAAGGCTCCTGGCTGAGCTTCTTCGTCTTCTTCCACTGCTGCCCATGCCTCAAACATGTCATGCCATGGTTCGACAGCATCCGCTTTGGAAGGCGGTAGTGGTGATGCTAGTAGTTCCTTCGTGACGACTCCATGGGAAGTGACTTGTTCCGCCATGGCGCACTTGCCCTGGGGATCCCCGTCTTGTTTCTTTTGATGCTGCGGCTTGGTCTTAGTGGGAAGAAACTGGAGTGTGGGCTCTTGGGATTGGAGTCGTTCCAGCAAGCCAATTTCGTGTGACGTTGTGCCTCTCTCATGCTTGCCACTGGGGTCTCTCCGAGTGGCACGATTGCACATGTCAGCATCACGGGATTTCGAAACATTTGGATCTTCTGTTTCCCCATCTTTGTCCTCGGCCACGGGAGGATCTACGTGAACGACAGACTCGTCGTTAATGTTGTTCTGGGTCTCGTCGTTCATGTTGTTGCATAACGAAGAGCCAGCTTTTGTGTTGGTTTCATTCAGATTCAAATTCATGCTCCATTGTTGTAGACTGCAGCGGACGATTGATGCCGGTTTGATTCATCATTCTCTTTTGTCCTTTGTCCTTCGCGACGGAAGCGAAGCCATTCCAAAACGGAACCTGTCATGTTTGCTCGCTGCGCTTCCCTCACCCACCGATGAATCGCTCCACAACAACCAAGTCTACTGCATCCAACCCTGGCCACACATAGCAGTACAAAGCTCCGATGCCCATGTTAGCATGACGAAGCCTTCTCCTGTCGTTTTGAGAGCAGACAGCCCCCTCTTTTCGAACTTGATCTCTTGTGGATCCAAGGTAAAACCCTGAACCCTAAAAAGATACAGGACAACAAAACAAAAACAGCATCCGTTTCGGAACAATCTGCAGATCTTTCTTGCTGTTGGGTCTGCAGATGTTGGTGGTTGCTACAGTACAGTACAGTACCGGACAACCTTCCAATAATGGCGGACAGTGGTAATAGTAGTGACGACAATAGCTGGAATGAGTTTCTGGGAAGCTTTCATAATACGAACTATGACATTGAAGATTTGCCACAGTTTCAATTGGCATCCCACGTGGGTCATCTCCGCCAACAGGTGGATCTGAGCGACGGTATACTTGTAACCAATGATGGCGTCGAGTTTCCAATCCACAAACTCATCTTGGCATCTCGGAGCGAGTATTTCAAGACGCTGTTCTATGGCAGCTTTCAAAAAGAGTCCACCCTACACCTGCCGTTTGACAGTACCATCATTGAAGCCATTCTTTCCTATTGCTACGCGGATTCCTTTTCTTCTTTTGGTGGTGGCAGCCACGAGGAAAACACTAACAACCATAATAACCAAACAGCACAAGATTTGGGACGTCAGATTGTTCGTTTGGCAGCCGCCGCATCCTTCCTCCTGCTAGAAGGCATGATTCGCAAGCTATGGGTGCGAAGTCTCAAAATCATGTTCCAACAACCCGACTGTATTCCCATCATGTACCAAGAAGCAGAAGCTCAGAATGTCCGTGCCATTCAAAAGCTGGCCATTCATGCCTATTGGATCACAACAACAAGTGCTACCCAACAACAACCACAACCAGGGTCCTTGTCGTCGTCACATTTTACGTCGCCACACGGCGATCTGGAATCGACATTCCATCCCGATGCTGCCTATGACACTCATGGAGTCTTTTTGTGTCTGGGATGCTCCGAGGAACAAGTCAATGGGGACTACTATGCGGAAGGAGGGCCTCTGAGATATGAAAATGATCAAGGGTTTCGCTTGGAACCCGAGACAACGCCACAACACGAAGGAGGAGCATTGGAATTGGGCACGACCATCCTCCTCCAGGATCCCCATGGGCACCGTCGATACAAACTGTGGTCCATGATCTTTCCACCCACGGATCACCTGCCACATCAGTGGGGAATCTGTAGTAGTGCTGCTAGTGATGGTGAAACAACAAACCGCAACAACCAAGGTGACGATAGTATACCTCCAATTAGTTTCTTTTTCAAAAGGTCACGTCGACGGCGACAGTATTAATCGAATAATGCCAAGAAGGAAGGAACTCTTACCTAATTTGTGACTGCAATCCACTCACATTCAAAGAGCTCTATCATTGGCGTCCAATGAATGAAGAGAGAAACCGAGTATCGGTACCGGTACGGTATGTAGCATTTTTACCAGAAGTGGGCTGCAAGTCCAAAGTCGCAGTCCTCGAGAAGTCTTCCACTTGTGCTCTGATTGGATCAGCGTACAACATAAGATTAGGCTGGTGGCCGCTACCTATGATACCAGCCAGGTATGGCACTTCTATCTGACGCTTCTTGAACGGCAACCCTAGCTACCGGTAGAGGAGGATCAACGCCTTCAAACATCGGAACGAAACATGTGGTGGTTGCTAGGGGCTCTGCGGGCGCAGCTTCAAAGTATCTCTAATGCTTGCAGATCCAGTCATGCACCGTTGAAAATCGCTTCCCGCGGTGCTTCTATCGCCACAATTTTCATCAAAACCCACACTTTCTTGTAAACAAGTGATCAAGGAGGGCTGAGTGAGTTGCCGACTGAAAGAGCCTTTATGCATAGAATCAATCAAGGACCATGGGCAAGTCAGGAACGGTTTTGGTATTATTAACTCTCTTTCTACTAAATACACCATGTGTCGCTAGTAGAAGAGACCGCACCAAAGGTCAGAGAAGAAAGCAAGCTCATCGTCTCTTGGCCGACGAAGAAGAACAGAGTGAGACTATTTTTGAGCTGGAACTGTCGACATCGGCCGAACGGTTTGAATCAGATCGTTTTCCAGGAGACGAATCATGCCCTTGCCTTTCCTATGAAGAACTGGCGCCCTACGAACGACGACAATCCAAACGAAGTTCGGATATCCTGGGTGTGGCTACCAACTTTGAGACGTATGGAGTCAATTGTGCTCCCCATGATTTGAAGACGCCGCTCTGCAGCTCTTTGGATAGCTGTACCAATGTGGAACCGCTTCCTCCAGATTGTGACAAATCCTTTTGTCAACGATCCTTTTGCTTTGTGGATCCACTCAATTGCTCCCTGTATCACAAGCCAAGCTCCATCTTTCCCAACATTCATTATTCCTATGCTACTTGTGGCTTTATGGACTCATTCACCTATTCCGAACGGATCAAATCTTTGTCTGGACGTGTACTCAAAGTTGCTTTGAATGCCAACACGGGAGGTTGGATGGGAGCCTATAATCAAGAAGGATCCTTTGCCACAAATCCGTACTGGACCGGTCCCGTGGTTGACTTTATGGTCGATGCCGCCCAAAGAGGAGGATTCGCATTCAACGTGACACAACCTCCCAAATGGATAGAAGCAGAAGCTGCAAAGTTTTTCGGCAATAGTAGCTTTGATCTGTGCGTCTATGCAACTTCTCTGGGTTTCCTGGATTTGTGCATTGGAGCCTACACTATTACCGACAAACGAGCGTCTGTCACCCCCTTTATCGAACTGGGAAGTGATCCAGTCTATCTTGTCACTTTTGTCGACGACAAAACGGGAGCGAACTATATGGAAACCTTTTTCAACTCGTTACTGACCATCTTTCAACCCTTTACGCCCGGTTCTTGGATCATGATTGCGTTCATATGCTTGCCCGTGTTGGGTTTGCTGATGATCTTTCACGAATATGGGACACCGGGGAGTGCCTTTCCCGACACGCATGAAGTGATGAAAACACATGTCACTACAGGTGAAAAATCACTCGAGCACCGCAGTATTCCGAGACGACAACACATTCCCAAAGCTCTCTACATGAGTTATCTGTCATTCTTTAATGGTTCCTATGATCCCGTGGTGATTACTGTGGGTGGAAAAATCAATCTACTGGCGATTCTGTCCTTTGTCTTGTTGGTGCTGGCAGTCTACACGGCCAACTTGGCTGCCATTTTGACGCAGGATGCTTCCAAAAGCCCCATTGACAGCTTGGATAAAGCTATCAGAGCTAACTATCAGTTCTGTGCCAGCCGCAAGGTTGCAACCCGAATTATTGATTTGTTTGGCGTCGATCCGGGTCGAATTGTCCCGGATCCCGAGTATCTAGGAGGAGATGGCAAACCAGGTTTCAACTGTCGGGATTGCGAGGCTCGAGAACGAATTTTTGATTACATGACCAAAAGCCAGGACTTTGACAGATCCATGTATTGCAATGCGGCCTTGGCATCCTTGGAAGACTTGCAAGTGTTGCATCGCTACCAAAGTCACTGCGACAAGGCGAAAGTTGGGGATGTTCTGGCGTACCGAGACTTTGGCATCCCCATTGCCAGTTCAGTGTCTGACGAACTCATGTCGTGGTTGTATCAAATGAAGTACGAAGGAGTGCTGGACCGACACATTTTTGCGGCAACTCCCCAGAGTCAATGTCCAGAACGGGAAGGAGAAGAGGGCATTGCATTGAATGTGGAACAACTCACTGGTATCTGGACGGTCGTGTTTGGGTTTGCCTTTGCGGGGCTCATGGCGACGATGCTTGGTCCAATGTTCAAGAAGAAGGACAAATGGGCGGAAAAGAAACTGAATCGCTATGACCAATGGTGCAATCCCGTAGAGAATCCCATTTTCAAAGAAGAGGAGGAAGAAATGACCAATAGTAGACGGTGGGGAGATGACGAACTTCGTGAACGCAACACCACCAAAAGGAGGGAAATGGAGCGGTCAAGGATAACGCATCTCAGTGCAGGCTTCTGGACGAGTGAATCGGAAGAATCTTCCTCAAGTGAGCGAGGAGTAGTAAAACACTTTGTCTCGCCCACGATGAAACGAAGCAACTCCAATGACGGCGGTAATCGCCACACCAACTCGCGAGGTAGTGTCTACAAGAGTTGTAGATCATCATCTGAAAACGGCGAAGGCGAGGACCTGCCAAGATGATAGCGAGCGAATGGTCGGCGGCGCAGAAATTGCAGAAGTCGTTACAAGAGGGATGTCAAGATAGGTCCTGGCATCCGAGATAGGTCCCCTGCAAGGGACATAGTCATATACCGGAGCCAGTGGCTCTGTAGATCGATAGTCTAAACAATTCATAAGTTACACAAACAAACAAACAAACCCAAAGCAGCCTACTAGATCTATCATAGGGCAGCCATGGAAAAAGTGGGAATTGTAGCTGAATTTGTCTACAAGGGATATCTCTCTAGAGGGCAATGAATTCGTAGTATGCATAGTAGAAAGCGGGAGCGCCAGATCAAAATGGTCAAGGATCGCCAGCGCCCAAGAATGAGAAAACCTGCACGGCGCCTTTTCAAAAAGAAAAATGCTCATCATGTTCTCCTGGTGACGCAAGCTTGACAGGAGGGCACACCGGTACTGTACCGTACGAGTTGCCCTGGCCCATGGAGCATGTCCCGACCATGGACTGCCCAAACTTTCTACTCGTGTAGAGGGAGAATTCAGTTGGGCAAACACACACAGTAATAGCCACGAAATGACTCTCGGGGTGACAATGCTGTGCTGTGGTATGTAGTGTACCGGCTAGCCATAGATTGGAGTCTAGCTAGAAAATTCTTGGCTGTGACTTGCACGCAGAGCACGGAACGGGTTGACCCTCTTCAAGCCACGGTATCATGAACAAAACGGTTGATACTTGCGTTGTAGTTGTTTCATTTGAATGATCCTTTGTTTTCTAATAAAATAAATCAGGCTGCCATTGCAACCCGGGACGAAGTACATCACTTCATTCCACCACCTCCATGAGCGTTGCCTACCAACCATTTGCGACAAGGCACACCAACCACAACCATTAATTCAACCCACACCCTCATTGTTGTTGTTGGTTCCATAAATTTCTGCCCAAAAAATATTATGAGAGGAACCAATGATACATCCTTGTTGCTGATTGTCATAGTGTATCATACTTTTTCTTAGGCAATGCGGTAAATAAGGTGCAGTCCACTATCCGTAGAAACTATGCCCGACATTTCCCCGACTTGCAGGGCGAAAGTGGCATCTTCAAAAGGCTAAGTACAAAAAAGAACAATGGAGGAGAGTGAGGCAAAAATAATGAGTGACATCAGCTGTGAAATCACAGCTAAGTCAACAGAAACTCCATTCCAATGAGTTTCCACTTCCATTTCCGTACCTTTTGCATGTCACCTAATAATAGGAAAGGAAAATGGAAATCATAGAGCACACGAAGTAAAGTGAGGCGCCAAAACTCGAGTTTACCCACAAAAATGAAATATGTTCTTTTTCTTCTTGACTGCAACCTTGCAATGACACTCAACTCACCACGCCCAAAGTCTCCTAGGTCTCCATTTTCCACGTAGGATCCACAATCACTGCGCATCTTGGCGTACTTGGGAAACGCTTCATGGACTCCTTCGGCTTTGATCTTGGCTTCGTATTGCTTGAGTTCGGCCTCGGCTTCCTCAGGAGTCATGGTGATCTGTTGCTTCGTGCGTCGCGACACTGGATTGCGACTTCCAGTGTGCTTGATCAGCAAGTGAGCGGCTCGGACGGTGGCCATGGTCTATGATGTATGAGTGATGATGAGCGGATGTACGGTACGACTGTATGTCCTCGAAGCTCGAAGAGTTACTAGCTAGCTAGAGTAGTTTAGTGGACCGTCCTTTTTTCCTCGAAAGATCGTCGCGTTGGTGGCGTCCAATGACAAGCCAGCCGAAAGGTTAAAAAAAGTGATTTCAGGGCAAGGCCGCTTACAGACGGACCCGCGACACGTAATGTACCTCCAGTCTTGTGTGATTGAAGTCGGCATCATTGATACCTGCAGGCACTCGGGTCGTGTGAATGACAAGTCGAGTCCTGGACCGCATGCAAAATAAATACCTACGGTACCTGGTAGCTACGATGGCTGGTACGGTACGATCGATACAAAGCTGATTGGGTGCCTGGGCTATGTTTGATTCGCGTGTCTTGGCCGCAAAGCTAGCTAGCTGGACCAACCTAACTCCGTGGCAAAGTGAGTTCGAAGAGAAGCAATGCAGCAAGACTTCGCATCATTGGGGACATGCAAGATGGGAATGAAGCAAATCCACCACAGATGCCGAATGCCTTTTTGATGTTGGGGATCGTTTTGTATCATAAAAACTAAATCGAATCCAAAGCAAAAGCAACACAACAATACAATACAATGACAGCAATCTTCCAAGCCGCACAAGAAAGAGCAACTACCGGTGCCATGCGACGTGCAGGAGTGTCGACCAAGAAACCAACCAAGGTTGCTCCAGTCAACGCACCTATTTGTACCGCAAAGCAGATTGAAAGTCCTCCCACAAAGAAGATTGAAAGCCCCACAAAGCAGATTGAAAGCCCCACAAAGAAGAGTGCTGAAAGTCCCAAGAAGAAGAAGAAGTCTCTGATGGCTGCTTTCATTGCATCATACCTCAAGGGAGCCGAGATGCGGGCGACAACTGGAGCACGTCGCCGTCGTCGTTGAACGTAAATCATAACATTCGGAACTTGTACTGCAGTGTATAGAATAGAACCTGAAAGAGGATAACTCTCCATATTAGAATGCAGCTCTAGCCTCCACTTTAGGAAAGGAAAGCTTCACAGCTTAAAATCCTGGTAGCTCTTACATGTAGCTTTACTACACTTGTGATCATCGTACTTTGGCTTTGGTTATGCAACAACCTTGCGGGCACCTCCGCACATGAGTTCCATGTTTCGAGATCGTGGAAGTGCTCAGCGTGGATCGCCCCCGACGCAGGTTTCCGCTTCTGCTCGGCCATCAGAATTCCATACGGTACAAACTGCGACTTCACTATATTGCATTGGAGGCTCTTGGGTAGGTAGTTGGCAGTACAACAAGTCGAGATATTTACTGCATCAGACAATTTGGCTAGGTAGCTTGAAGGTCAGTTCATTCTCCACTGCGCAAAAGCGGACACTGCTTGACTCAGCGTCATCAAATCTACCTGAATCTGCACCCAACCTTCGCTATCAATCAAACAATGACAAGTTTACAGAAATACTATACTCCATTGAGTTCCTTGATGTATTGGGGAAGTAGGTTGTAGATAGCACCCCCACAACCTCACCACCGGTTTCACCACCCAAGACAACCAGGTACCTCAATCCAAGGGAAGTAAAGAGCTGGTATGCCTTTGACATGGGGCAATATTCGCTGAACAACGAAGTGGAAGTCCAACCAGTTATTGAGTACAGTGCACACACCAAGTCAGCGGAAAGATCTTCGTCCAATGACAAGCCAGCGGAAGCGCTAAGAAGGGTGATTTTGGTGTCTCACAGAGTCGAGTCGTGTTTGAGTCTTGTGTGATTAAAGCTGGGGACTCACTCCGGTCAAGCCACGGGTCGTGTGAATGCAAGCCGAGTCCTGGACGGCATGCAAAATACACACTTACTGGTGCCTGGGCCATGTTTGATTCCTGTGTCTGGGACCGCCTCAGCCGTACGGTCGCTCTCGTGGGCTACTGTACCGGTACTCATAGTTCACTCGGTGGCAAAGCTAGCTAGTTCCGAAGAGCCAGGAATGCAGCAAACTTTGCATCATTGGTTACATGCATGATGGGAATGAAATTCACCACAGATGCCGAATGCCTTTTTGATTTTGGTGATCATTGTGTATCATAAAACCAAATCCGAAGCCAAAGCCAAAGCAAAAGAAACACAACACAACACAAAACAATGACAGCAATCTTCCAGGCCGCACAAGAAAGAGCAACTACCGGTGCCATGCGACGTGCAGGATTTCCCACCAAGAAACCAACCAAGGTTGCACCAGTCAACGCACCATGTGCCGCAAAGCAGATTGAAAGTCCCCCCACAAAGATTGAAGGCACAAAGCAGATTGAAAGCCCCACAAAGAAGAGTGCTGAAAGTCCCAAGAAGAAGAAGAAGTCTCTGATGGCTGCTTTCATTGCATCATACCTCAAGGGAGCCGAGATGCGGGCGACAGCTGGAGCACGTCGCCGTCGTCGTTGAATGCAAAAAGAAGATCATGTCATGACGTGACGTGCGGAAGTTGTACTGCAGCCCAGTGTACAATAGAACCATAAAGACAATAACTCTCCCGATTTGAATGCAGCTCTAGACTAGCTACTTGCCTCAACGACTTCCTCTGGCGGTTGCATGGTCTTGCAAGATCACTAGGGAATCAACAGCTGCTGTAGCCGATGGCGGAAAACAACATAATGGCTTCGGCTATAGCTATGGTCCGCCCAGGTCCTGCGACTATCAATTTTTAGAACGTCTACAAGTCTAAGGGGTGGTTGGTTCATCTACCTAAATCCACTCTGTAGCCTTCAAACCCTTGGTGCCCAACTCTTCAAGCTTCTGGAAAACCTTGGCAAAGTCTTTGTCGAATTTAGCACCATCCTTGGCATAAACATTGACCCACTTGAGGAACGGTTTGTCCTCGAGCAAAACGAGATCACTTGGCAACATCATGAGTTTTCCAGTGCCACCATCGACATATTGGGGAGGACCACTCCAGTCTTTGGGGATCCACTTCAAACTAGTCAGTAGGGTGAAGTATGCATTGTTGAATGTGGTGGGAGTAAATGTCCAAGGGCCGACATATCCCGAAGCAGTTTCATGGCAGCGGCCCAGGGCGTGTGCTCCACTCAACGCCACAATTTCTTGATCGTTGAATCCCATGCGGTAAAAGATGGTGCGCAAATGATCGGCATCCGACTTATCGGCCAAAGGAGGTCCACTGTCGGCGTTGGGGAGTCTGCCGTCGGGGGTGATAAATTCTTCGGGTTGATCCGTGCGTCCAGAACTCCAACCAATGGCTGGACCACCCATTTGCTTGATGGAAGCAACTGATGGGCAAGATTTAGATGAGATGGCAAAGAAAAGGAAAAAGTCAGTTACAGAGCAAGCCAAACACCAGCCAAAGATACCAATCCAATCGAATGGACACAATATTAACTGTAGACCCACCTCCAGCAAGTGTGTACAAATCAGCATAAGAGAGACCGGCATCGGCATACTTGGCGTGGATTGGTTCCAACCATTCCACTGCTGTCACTGCGAGCCCCGCATTTCCTCCATGAGCCAATTCGTCCTTGAAACGGATGGTTCCTCCACCAGATCCTCCCGTCTTGGACACCTTGTCATAGGTACCCGAAGAGTGCCAGGCGAGACGAACAAATGTAGGTCCCCAATCAGGGTTGGCCTTGACCAAGTCCATGATATCACTCGCCACAGCCTTGTAGTCAACGCCATCAGCAGCATGGGCAGGTAGATTCGGCATCATCAAAGAGAATGCACCCACGGCACCTGTGGCCATAAATGCACGTCGGGCATCGTCCGAAGAAGATTCATCAGCCGTAGAGGCATGTAAAGCCATTGGTCGGCTGAAAGGCGACGAGACCACCTGAAAGGCATCACTGCCTGTCAGGCTTAGCAAGGCAACTGTTGCGATGGTGCGAATCATTGTCGGTTGATGAGAAAACTACTGGTAGTGTTGGCAGATTCTATAATGGCTTTTTGATCGGCTTCTCAAGATTGTTTTGTGGCCACCAACAAAGCCAACAAACATAAAGATCTTCTTGGAAGATCTCGGTTTGGAGGTGTCAACGCGCTTGGGAGTGTTGGTTGGGTATCCAACCAAGTTGATGTTTGAGACGTGTGACACTCTGCCAAGAATTGTGCGGGTGCGTGTGGCTAGCTCTAACTCTAAAACAAATGGCGCCGGCCGTACAGCGTCCCGGTATCATAGGATGCACCTCGAAAACCTCGCGGGGCACAACCCTCCAAAAACACCTCTACTAGCTAGCTAGTAGAGTTAGGGCAGCACCAAAACATGGGCGAAAGAGGAGCAAAGAGGCCGACGGTAGTTGTGCAATGCAAGCAAGTCAACAACCATGCCTGCTAGATCTACATGTACCTCCTGGCAAACGGCAACAAAATGAATCTAAGAGACCAACAAAAGAGAGAATCTGATGAGGGAGGGATTCGAACCCTCGCCAATGAAGACAACGGCCTTAACGTTGCGCCTTAGACCGCTCGGCCACCTCACCGTATTTCAATTGCTGACATTCAGAATTTGGCATGGCTTTAAAAAGGACGCTGCTTACCTTCGCTGGCGCATTTCCCCTGCAAAGCTTTGAAAGATGACAATGCTCTCTTGTTTGTATGGTGTCAAGCACAAGGTACTACGGTAGCAATGATTCTGTTTCAGCGTAGTACATCTGCCTAGCTAGGAGCCCAGGGTGAGGAGGACTTCCACCAACTTTTGCGCGTTCAACTCGTGGCATTTTTCCTGTATGCTGCCACTGCGCAAAGCGTCTCGGGTGGCGTCATCCACGAGACACAGATCGAGTATGACCACACTGTCCCCCCACGTGTCTCGTATTCTGTCCTTGTCCATGTCGATACAGTAGTGACAATGCGTGGTATCCACCAGTACAAAGTTGATGATTCGGTCCACGTTTGCATCCGTCTCCTTCGTATCCACTCGCACCATGTCAATAATGCGTTGGAGGCAATCTGCCAACGTGAGCCCGACCATTTCGGGATCGATCCCGGTGTTGGGAATGTAGATTTTGGGACACTGTCGTGAGACAATGGCGCGACCGACTCCTCGCGGCAAGAGATTCACCAAGACGGATCCAAAAAAGGATCCCATGGGATAGCAAAGGACATCGGCCGATGCCAAGAGTTCCGCCGAAATGCTATCAATGTGACAGGTTTTGGAATCTTGTCGTGTCGTGGCATCATCCTGTAGTAATGAGTCGACCAAATCAATGTGTTCAATTCTTCCATGCTTCCCCACGGGCAATTCTTTTCCCAACAAGTGTTGCCCCACGTGTGTGGTGCCGTCCTGATACCGCGCTCGCAACTGCAAATTGGCTCCGGTAATGGGTCGTACGACACCCTTGACGCCCAACAGCGTCCAAATAAGGTAAATGGCCGTGACGACATCCGCATGATGTTCCAGATAACATCCGGTAATAATGAGATTGCCAATGGATGCACCTCGCAAATCAAACTCGGCCGGCATGCGATTGTGAAACCATCGCAAATGACTCGTCAAGATGCGACGGAGTGGCAATGACACGGCGCGACACAATTCGTGGTGACCTTGAACCAATTCGGAAAATTCGGTTTGTGCCAATAGTTCGTCGTGTTTGTCGAGTCGATGGGAAAACAACTGTTTGACATGCACATTGTCTTGCGACAAATCATCCGAGAGTGCCATTAACCGATTGCGCAAATCTCCCACACTGAGCATATGAAAGTGTTTGCGAATTTCGGCCGAACTGCCACCGGAATCAAACGGTGTAATCAAGTGAATGGAATGATGTGTGTATTGCTTCAAGCAGGAACTGACATCTTTGAGGGCACTGCCGCCACTAAAACACAAAATGCGGGGTCCATATTCCGGCAAGCGACGGCATTGTTCCACTTTGCGAGGATCGGGAATCGGGACTTGGCGTTTAATGGTGACCACCACTTGGGATTGGCGTGATATGCCACTTTCATTATTCTCTTGGTTGTTATCCTCCCAACCTGCGCGATCAATGGAATCTGCAAAGGAAGAACTCCTTTTGTCATCAATGGCGGGCATGGCTATCAAGTGAGGTTAAAACGAGGGTATAAATGAATCATGAAATAGAAACAATGAGAGCCATACTCGACCATCTCAAAGGCCAAACAAGCACGAAACAAGGACAAACAAGCAAGGAAAGAAGCCAGTAGATAGCAACAGATCGGACTGTGCGTATTCGATGCTTGGTGTAAGCCTCTAACAGACATGCTGGTGGGTAATACAGTACAGTGCTGCATCGCTTCAGACTTGGTCACTCACTTCTCGAGGATGAATAAGCACGAAATGACTGTACATGTATGCAATGGTAGACTAATGATGTTGACCAACAGAACAACCACCTGCTGTCTTCTATTCTTGCATTCTTGCTGGTGTTGTTGTCGATGTGGCATTGGGGCAAAGAATTCTTGGATACTCTCGCACGAATGAGGAAAGCGGGTACAAGGGTGGGGCTCAGCGTGGAAAGTGGCAAGGGCAACCTTAAAACCTCACCACGGTGCCATTCTCTCAAGTTAAAAGGGGTTTTAGTTAGTTAGAGCAGGGAAGTTATCTACAGAAGCCAGTGAGGGCAAGGCTTAGGCAAAGAAGAGGCAAATACAGGACAAGGTTCCATGGGATCACGGGAGATAAATTGAGGACCAACATGGGGGCTGAAGGGCTGGGCTTGTGGCATCCACGGATCCAAGCAAGAAATGCAAAGCACACTAATAGCACGGTTTCATACATGTATAGCTATGTAGAAATTAGAGATGTTTCTTTGATCCCAACAATGGTCCAATGAATTGGACTGGCACCACTTCAGCAAAACCTACACCTACGTAGGGACGCTGCAATCGGATCACCAAGCCTGAACTCGTTTGCTTCCTCATCAATCTACACATTCCCACTTGGAAGACTCTTCTTCAATGATTTTGTTGTGTTCCTTTAGGTGCCTGTGCCATTGGTCCCTTTGGCACTCTTTGCTGCAATAATAAGCTTTTCCACAGAGGCACTTCTTCAAACTGGGGCCAACCTTCCCGCATTTGCCACATTTTATTCCAGCTGTATAGTCATACAAATGTGGAGTTCTTTTCTTGGAGATGGGGTTGATCCGTACCAGCTTGTTGGTTTTTAGGTGCACATCCAGTACCTCCTGAAGTTCTGAGTCGGCAACACCAATGTCTTCACACCCCATCATGGACATGAAGGCGTGTATCTGTGGGTGTTTAATATCGCTGATTGTGGGGAAGAGGACTCTTCTTGGTCTTTCAGGCCAGCTGGAACACCAGAGTGCTCCCAATTTGATGCTCTTTTTCTCCGGTTCGGTCTTACCCCCCCAGCTCTTCCAGCACTTTGTGATGGCTGTACTGGTCCCTTCAGCGTTCCACATGCTCTGGATTGCAAACGCGGCGGCTTAATCATCCGTCGCCATAATGAAATCCGCAATGAACTTGGTTCTATTGCATGTGAATGCTTTGGTTCCTCTAGCGTCCAGTCAGAACCACCCCTTCCCTCTGTTCCCGCCCCTACTATCCCTGCCGGTCACCCAATTTTCACCTTACCTCCCCTTCTCCCCCCCTCTCAATCCCCTCCAGCCCCCGAGCTCTTACGTGGTGATCTTTCCTATTCGCGGCTTGTTTGAACGAGGTACTACAGCTATTATTGACGTACGTGTCACTATTTGGACTGTGCCTCTTACCGCAACAAAGATCCCGTCAAAGTTTTAACCCAACAAGAACGCGACAAAATTTCCAAATATAAAGACGCGTGCGAGTCCAATCGCGCTTCCTTCCACCCCTTTGTTGTTTCAGTGGATGGCATGCTTGCCCCTCAAGCCAAGACTCTCTTACAACGCCTTGCTTCTGCTACTGCCTCCAAAACTCAATTTTCCTACTCTCAAATTATGTTCTTCATGCAGACCCGTATCTCAATTGCCCTTGTGAAAGCTACCCATTTATGTCTCCGTGGATCCCGCAAAGCCAAACCTTTTGCCCCCCGTAATTGGTCCTCCATTTCTTGCCCCTGATCCCAAAGAACCTAGTCCTGAATTTCGACTGTTCTTTGCTTAAGCCTGGCCCCGGCTGACGTCACTGTCCGCTTTCATACGCTGACTCAGTGATCTACACTCTCTCTGCGATTTATCGGAACCCCTATATAGCTGAATCGCGAGCAACGGGAGGCACATTCGCTCACTCTTGGGTGAATGTGAGAATTGAGGCTGACAATCGATCTTCTCTCTTTCGTCATTTACTGTTTCTTGATATATCCTCTGATATTTTTTAATATATATCAACCTAGTCTAAGGTAAATTCTCTCTTCTTTT